ATTTTATAGTTCTATTTCATTTACTAGCTGACTTACTTTTCCATTCTATGATATTAATAAATCAAATATTTTATTTCAGTTTAGGCACTCATATGTTTTTTACTTCCTTGTATGAAGTAAAAAGGAAGTATTGTAACGAGAAAAGTTTCAGGCAGCATATTTCAACAAAAATATCCATTTTGACCGCTATAGAATGCTATTTAGCAAAGTTTTTGCGTGATATCTGTACGTAAGGACAGAATAAAATACTCTTTCCCTCCAAAAAAATTATAAAACTGCTTTAAAATTAATTCTGAAGAGAATTTTTCGTGGCGTCTGTACGAACGTAATACGGTGCGTACGTACGTACGTATCTCGCATAACTCTCAAAACGAGTAGCCTCAGAACGTTGAAATTTTGTATATAGGACTGCTATAACATGTAGATGTGCACCTCGTATTTTGGTTGCAATCGGCCGCACCAAACGTATATAAATATATTTATATATATATCCACTCTGTTACCCGGCTCAGTGATCTCAGTTTCTTTACTCTTATATGTTTGTAAATTGTACATTTTTTGCTTTAAAAATGATTGAATTATGTTGTTTTTATCTTCCGGTTAAGGTTTTTATGCCTTTAGTAAATCTGTATGCAATATTTTTAGAATTATCAACAATTTTAAAGTTGTTTAAGTGCCGCTAAGCCTTTTTTATGGCGGCCATTGATTGTTTACATTTGAAACAGCAGACTAGTGGATTTGTTGCCAATCTAGAGAAACTTAGCTTCGCAACAACAAAGATAACGCCTTCATTTATTATTGCCAATTAAATCATGCTTAATCCTTTCTGGAATTTTTTCGAGGAAATAAGTCTTTTCCTAGAAAATTCAGTAATAATAAATAAGTGTTTTCCTCAGATTTACTTCGTAATTTTTAATACAGATATTTTGAGTTTTTATATATTTTTGCCTTCTCGCGAAGTGAGAACTGAATTAATTGAATGAGAAATACTCAATCGTCTGTGAAAAACTGTTTCTTTTTTGTTTTGTTTGCTTAATTTCTTTTATACATCATTCTAGCTTTATTATAGTATTTGAATAGAACATGTGGCAACGATTAGATAACTCTATTCTTTAAATGATATAAATTTTGTGCATTCTGAGTTATAATATGAACGAAATATAATACTGTTAAGTGAACCTAGCGCCAGAGTGTCGCTATGGTAAACAAATACTAGAGTGAATTTTAAAGAATGCATTTATTCTATTGTGGTTTATGCGCTGTCGGCGAAGTAGATTTAATTCAATCCAATAAGTTTAAATGAAATGCAAGAAAAAATGCGTATAATTTAATATTCCGTACAAGTTTAATATTCCGAAGTCATGTGGTGTACACATCAGATTTTTTTAAATAATTTTGAAAAAGTTTCCTGATATTCAGATACATCTTTAGAATTTCTAATTTACCTGCTACATTTTCCGACTTCATTTAATCCTTTACATGACTCTCATTATTCTACATTTTACTTTCTTCCAAAAAAACCTTTCTTCTGCGATTTAAATGGTATAGTTTAATATTATTTATATCTGAATATTAGTATCCTTTTCTCATATTCTTGGTGTTAGCAATGTTTAGTCTCAAATTTTTAGTTGCCTTTAATTAATGAGCTTGATGTATTTCCACATTTGACGTATTAGAACAAACTCAAAGACATTGATCCGTAATTTTAGAATCATAATCACTGTTTCGTGCACTCATGTATAAATTTTTGCTACTGCTTCTAACATTTAATACCTTATAATTCAGCGTTTTTGTTTTGCTAGTTTATTCCATTTATATCGTTATGTTTGTATTTCATATGCATTGGTTATGCTAATTTTACCTACTTACCTTTTTCCTGTTCTAACACTCTACTATGTCTACTTTCTTGCAAGAGAACTCAGCCATTATTTACGTCACATGTACAAAGAAATTCCTAAAACCAAGAGTTTCAACACCGAACCAAAGTTGAATTACCACTGTTCAATGGTTTTATTCACTTGTATCTCTTTAAATATTCTTAAACCCAACATTTTCAAACCGGATCGAAGTTGAATTACCACTGCTCGGTGGTTTTATTCAGTTCCATCTCTTTAAATATTCTTAAAACCAACATTTTCAACACGTAACCAAAGCTGAATTACCATTGTTCAATGATTTCATAAATTTTCTTAAAACCAACAATTCTGAACCAAAGCTGAATTACCACTGTTAAATGGTTTTGTTCAATTGCGTCTTTTTAAAATTTATTTTGACACTATTTTTAACTCTACATCATCATTTTAAATATTTTAAGTCACTTTATCAGGATTTGTGTTCCTCTTTACTTGCCTTGGAAACATGAACTGTCCTGACTCGGAACAGGGAGCTTACTCAAGCTATGTTCAATAAATTGTGAAGTAGACAATACACACAGGAAGGGTATACGAAACCCTTTATTTTTCTATCTTTACAGAGATTTCCGGAACTTCGGAATACAGAGACCAACCACTTGTGGTCTGAACGTAAGAATATAAAACTACTAACTAAAACTCTAACTAAAACTAACTTTGGATTAATATACAAGTGCCTAACTTTAAGATTGGCCGTTATTTAACAAAATCCGTATGTAGTACAGAGAGCTGCTAAAACTACGATACGTTTGAATTATCAAGAGGACTAAACCTCTGGCCTTGAAGGCAACCAGCAACCGAGTAAAACTACTATGGCAAGCGGCCTGCTTCTAATAACTCCTTCCTCTCTCTTGCTTGGCAAAAAGCCACAACTTAAGTACTTGGCGTTAGCAAGACAAATTTGCATAAATAAGTTAAAGCTTTTAATTCTGGCCGGAAGTAGAAAATAAGAAGTGATAGTAAAGATTTAAAATAAAATAAACGTTAGTAAAACTTAGGATCCTTACAACTTTACTTTTAATCCTAACCTATAACCTTAATCCTCTTATTCGGACTTAATTCAATTCCAACCTAGGCAACTTTACTTGGAATTCATTTCATTACTTTTTCGTATTACTATTTTTATAAGTTAAAACACCAAGTATTTGACTATTAGACGCTTCAGAACAGAATTCACATTATGAACACTTCTTTCTCAACGTACCTAAAGGTAAAACAGGTTTGCGATAAGAAGGAGCTGTCGCATGCATTGCTTATCTGTAAACATTCTTCGGGATTTTTGACTTTTAATGCATATTTCACAAGTTATTCAAAATTATTAGGAAAAGTACATACAAATTCCAGTTATTCTCCGAATTGCTTGTTCATTTTAGGTCAAATAATATTAATCGGAATTTAATTTATTCATATGTTCGTAATTTTAATTTCAATTTTTTTTAAAAGTTAATTGAGATAGAAATGAACTGCGCATTTGAAATATGAAAACTAAATAATGAAATAAAATTTCATCGTTCAGTTTTAATTTAAAACGAATGCTTTCTGTGCTTTTTATTTTATTTATTTTGTGCGGAAATGGAAATGATTTTCAACAGTTTAATCTTTGCTAAAAGTACGATAAACGAAAAAATAGAATAGTAGCGTTTAAAAAGTCGTGTAATGTAATTATGTATTATTATAATGCATTCTTTGGTAGATTTATTTTTTTCATTTATTCAAGGATACTTGTTACTGTTATTATTTCTGTTCCTTTACGTTAGTAGTTATATCTCTGTTTTGCAGATACAATTGTTTCCTAAAATTGCTTCGGAAGAATTTCATGCAACATTTAGACCAACTACATGTATTTTTCAGAATAAAGAATTGGAAAGTATAATGTCAGCCAAAGATATACTAAAAGGCATGAAGACATCATAAATATAATATAACATATCAAACAAAAAAATTTAACGTATAAAAATGTAAAAAAAAAAAAGAAAAGAAAAGAAAAAAAAAAATAATAATAATAATAATGAAAAAATCGCAAAATCTGATAATACCTACATATAACAGAATTTCAGAGAAACATTGAAAAGTAAACTATTCAAATAATGTTCTAGTTAGGATATTCCTTTTATTCAACTTCTTGACGTGTATAAATTGTGATTTGTACACTGAAATTAACAAGAACATAATTCAGATACTTTAAAAATTAAAAATTTTATACGCTGAAATTAGCAAGCAATTCAGATATATTAAAAATTAAATATTCAAGTTCCATGTTGAAAACTTTCCTTATATCCTCTATAAAATCTTAAAACAGTATTTTTATTGAATAAAATTTAATGTATGAAAGCTGACAGCTAAAACTTTTTCTTTTACGCATTTTGGTTACAATTTGGCTTCAATCAAATATACTAGTAATGCCTCGACTTTTTAAAGAAGGAAGCTTTATTAGATTTCTCAGTAAATATGATGATTCCTAGGATGTTTGAGTAGGAAGAAAAACATTTTTGTACAGTTTGCTGTATCATAAAATTGCTCGCTTTATTTCCTTTTTTATGAAATTGAACAACACTGTGTTGGTAATTACGCAATAACCGAATCATTATTGCAAATTTCCTTTAACAATAAGTAAATACCTTTTTATCTTTTCTATCATTAAACAAGTAAAAAAAAAGCTTTACTAAGTGATACTTTTATATTCCCTTTTTGGCACATATTTCTTTCATCATTTACTAACTTAAACAAGTTTATCTCTGTAGCATAAATTCTGTAATTAACTTTTCAATAGTTCCTCTTTTAATAAGCATAAGATATAGATGACTGTCATGAAAGGTTTGAGAGTAATTATAAGAAAACTGTAATTAGAATTAAATTCAAAATTTCAGGGCTTCCGTTTTCAGGGCGTCCATTCAGGGCTGAAAAATATATTTGCTTGAAATATGAAATTAGAAACACTTATAGAACAAATAAGTATTCTTATAAAAATATAATCAACAAAATGTTCACTGAGTAGAATTTATATGCTAAAGAAGCTCTTCAACAAAGATTCATTGCAAAGAATTCATGCATTTAATTCAGCAATATTTAATAATAACACAAATTTCTTACTTTGTTTTTGGAGAACAGTTTCGTCCTGTCCAGAATTAGCTGCTTTTAATAATCTAGCTGGCGGCACAGACGGTCTATCTCTTTCCTCCTCTAAAAAGAAAAATTTTACTAAGTATTTGAAAGAAAAAAATTAAAGAATAATTCTAAGCTAGATTGTTTTAAGCTTTTAAAAGCATTTCATATAATTTAGTGCCTTACTGTACTTACTATACGATACGATAATTTGTCAAAAAAAAAAAAAAAAAAAAAAAAAAAATGTTCTAATAAAATTAGCTCTACCAGAAATTGGTTAAGAGCGTTGAATATTGAAGTTTAATTCTGGTTTGACCACAGTCGAACGCGCTGGCATGGTTTCTTTTCATTGTTTTCCCCATCTATAATGGGATTATGAGCCACTTTCTCTTAGAAAATCCTCCACAGAGGATTCCATTTTCTTAGGCACATAGCTCTTATAATTTTTTTTGAACACATACAGTCTATCCGTGCACCACAAATGTACAACACAGGGCTTGTAAGTTAACTAAAACATTAAATATTAAATGCATAAATAAAACGAAAAAGAACAGAGAACAGTAGTCTGGACTTTACGAAAACAAATAATTTAGCTGGCTATGTCACGCTGAACATTTTCAAATCGTTCTGCAAGCATAATCTAAAGCCATCAAAGGTAGGGCATGAAAAAATCAAATATTCCACATCTTGGGGTACTTTTTTTTTAACATTCACATAAATTATTTGATTTTATGTATTATCTTATATGCTTTTCCATATTTAAATGACTTAATATAAACCATTATAAAATAACTTCGTTACCTTGGAACTCTTTTTTGGCAGCTGCCTGCTCTTGAGAAGAAGCCGCTTCTTCTACTGGAGTTTGCTGTTGCAAAGTCTGCTGGGTAGGATCTCTACCCTTTCCTTTACCTCAAAAAAGAATGATATTACCATAAATATTAAATGTAGGAAAAAAAATTACTAAGGAAGTTAATGCTGCACACTGTAAAAAAAAACCTCGAAGTTTACAGACAAAAGTCTTGTATAGTTACAGAAATGCGAACAATTACGAAGGAAATACCTGTAACGAACACAGAACCAAACGAAACTGTAAACTCTACAGGAGTTTTTCAAGAAGTTTGGTTAGCGTTACTGACTACCGTGCCGAAGGGTCCGGGTTCGAATCCCGGAGAAGGCATGGATGTTTGTATATGTTTAATAAAAATTTGTAAGAAACGTTTGTTGTTAATTTCAATATTAACCCTCACGGATTGGAGGAAACGGCGTTCGCCAAAGTCCTCATCTTCTTTCTTCTTGTTTAATAAGCAAGATTGATACTGATACTGATACTGATTCAAGAAGTTTTGCTTGGATTTTGTCCGTAGCGTGTGATCACGTGGCTTAAAACGGCTGAGAGAGAAGAACTAATCAGGAAGAAGGTGAAAAAACAGCGTCTTAGCGGGAGAGTTCAACGATAGTCGCCATGTTAGCCATTATTTTTGCTATGGTCGAGGTAAGTTCGAAATAGTGTTTGACGTGTATTTTACTAATTTTATGTAATGTATTTGTTATGTTCTTTACACTATCTATAATTAAATTCTTTTAATGTTTAGCTTATAATTCTAATGCTCCTAAATAAACCTGTGTTGAATTATTGTTAGAGTTCAAATCACAGAGCTTGTGTTCCATTTAGTAAAATAACAACTTTTATTCGTTACACATCTGCAGGTGTCTGCAGTTAAACTGCTCATATTTATAAACAGAAACAAATTTGTTAATATGTTAGTTTAAAAACAAATAAGCTTAATATTAATGTTCTATTTATAGTCTAATAATTTCTCATGTTAAATATTTATGTATCTTTTAAAACATATCGCGTTAGAATATTCATATTTTTCATTTTGTTGACAGATGTAACATTATTATTCCATACATGTTATCATTAATCCCAGCGGTGAACTGCTTTAGAATATTTTTCAGAGCATTATTACACTATGTATGTTATTATTAATCTCAACGAAAAAGAAAAAATAAATGTAATATATTTAAAAAATTCGACAAAATAACTTAACATACATTAAAAATGGAATATCATTTCATTAATACATGCAATAAGTTCGCCTTAAAAGATTATATAGTCGGATAGCAATTACATATTTGTAAAAGTATTCAATGTATATTATTTTGTGTTAAAGATAGTTTTAATCCAGGACAGTCTTTACCAACTTATAAAGCATCTATTAAGTTACATTATAACCAACATTTACAAAAGGCAATCGAAATGCCGTGACTTTGACATATTTTTAACTATGATGTAACATACTAGGAACATTAAAGAAAAAAAATTCTATTTTTTCCTTTATGCTTGTTGAAAAGTAAAATATTAATAAAATGGTACAACATTCATTCTAGTACTTACAATGTAAATTTACATATAAATTTACTATAAATTTTGGTGCAAAGTTCATTATAAAATGCATTTGCTAATATTTAATAGTTATAGCATTCAATATCAAATCATGGAAATATTAGTAATGATACGTCAGTTGCATATATTAATTTCAATACTCAGCTCAATGCCAAATTTCTTCTATATCTGAGATAACATGTATTTTTTGAAAATAATTATTTTGTGTCATCTTTTCATTTAAAAATCTCTTTCAGATATATTTTAATGTGAATTATTTTCAAAATTATCCTCATTAGAATGAATGTTGTTCTCTTTTATTATGTTTGAAACTGCCGTTACGCTAAAAAATATATTCAGAAAACTATTTATTGCTGAATGTTTAAAATAAGTTCTACTGCTCCTTTTTGACAAAGAGTATCCATTTGAATTGCAGTTGGTTTTAATTAATCGTTGGTTGTATTTTTAAGAACTACTTGATAAAATTCAACAAATTAGTTCAATCTATGAGTTCATCTGAAAAACCTAAAATTTTTATTCCAATTCTGTCATGTGTATATATTTCAAGAATGAAAAAGAATTACAAATTCACTATCCAACAATACTGAGTAATATGTTGTTGATATAGCCAAACTTAAAATGACCCATTTTAAAACCAGATTAAATAAATCATCGCGTATTTTAGGTCATCGAATTTCTTTGGCGTTTAAAGTGTCATAGATTTAGTAAATCCAAGGGTCAAGGTAAGCTCAAATATTTTTTTTCATAGTTCATATTTGCTAAGTTATAAATTTTGCTGATGCAAAAGTTATGTAACTTATGCAAACATATGCTTAGAGTATTTGAACTAGTGTTGAAAAATCACTGGAATTTAAAATGTAATTGACAGTATGCCTTAAAGCTTGTTTTGGTAAAAGCATATTTATGGGTGCCCCTTGGCAAAATTTGGCGATTTTTGGCAGTACATGGATACCGAGTTTGTGCAATTATTTGACCATGTTATTTTGGCTTGTGTAGCGACGATTTGTGTGCCAAAAACCGCCGCTACACGAAGACAGATTGCACATACTCGGTATCCATGTACACATCGACCTATTTTCACTTAAAAAAAATCTGTGAATTGTACAAACTTGGCATCGCGCACTCCCTTGACTTTATCCATGTACACATCGACCTATTTTCACTTAAAAAAACATCAGAGAATTGCACAAACTAGGCATTGCGCTAAACCCTTGATAATACAGGGAGCACCCTTCAATATACTCTAACTGCTGTTTTTTTCATAAATTAAAACATTTTAGGCATTTAAGATATCTTCCTGTAAGTTACAACTAAATGAATGACTCTTAAGCATAAAAATTTCAAATTTTTATGCTTAAGAGTAGAAGGAGTTATACACTTTTTAAATAACAGTGTCAGAAAAATATACTTTTTAAAATATGTAAACCATTGTTTAAAGTATAGAAAAACCTTCCTTAGCAACTATACCTCTTTAAGTGATTATGTCAAGTATTCTGGTGATACAAACATTGATATTAATTATCACTGAGAATCATGCTTTGTGAAGTAACCACCTCCATTAAATATCAAAATTGTACAAAATTATGGAAAAGTTATAGAGTGGTTTTACTGTATACTTAAAGTATATCATATCACTGTTAGATATTGATGATGTAAAAGATATTATCTAATCATAAATATTTCAAGCATTAAATAGCTTAGTGTAAGTCAATAAGTTTTCAGATTCTGACTTTGTACCCTGTCTTTCACTATGTAATATTTTTCTAGCAACTGTGTTAAGTACCAGTAAGTAAGTTTGTCTTAAATACCACTTAATGTAATCAGGTATCATCTGTTCTGTCTGTAAAACTTAATCGTAATAAGTGAACAAATGAATATCTGTAAAACTAAAGATGACACTCTATGTAAAAAATACAAGTATTAAAATGTCTATGAGAGGAACATTTAAAATATAAATCATCCATGATCAATTTTTGCGACATCTAAGATAGGAAAATACCCAAACTGACTAGTTAATTCATGAGGATGAATGCATGTAACATCATTGTTCATGTGCTTGTTAATTGTGTAAGTATTGAAGTTCATGCATTATGTTAATTGTTGATAACTATATTATTGGTCTTATACATGCATATATAAGTCAAATTTTGTATATTTTGCTAGTGAGCTAAGTATTAAATGCTGTTACGTATAATTCATATTATGTGGAAAAGTAGTTTTTGATCTAACACTTTCTGAGAATTTTTTAATGTTGATCATCAAGCTTAAAGCATATGGCTGAAATTACCAGTAATTAACCATAATTTAATTATTTCTCCTGTTTCAGCGTTTCTCAAACTTTTTTTCGAATAGAGATTATGTGAATTATCATAATTTGTGAATCACCTTGCTGCTGTTCCCTTCGAAAGCAATTTTTAGCATATATTACTACTAGTACACTTATATTTTAATATATAATTAAAATCCATTATATTTCATAATTAAGTCCATTGAAGAAAAGTTATATTTCTAATATTTCAAGATTATTAATGAGAAGGATGATTTGTAATTCTTGCATGGCTCTTCTATATTTGGATATATGATGGTAAGACCACAGTCTTAGTGGATATATGATAGTATATTTGGATATATGGTGGTAAGTACCACAGTTATAGTGCTTTAAATCCATCTTTTTACTGCTAAGACTGAGTGGGAAGTCTGTAAGTAGGGTAACCAATAATAAATTTCATAAAATGTCTATCTACGAGAAAAGGTGATAGATGATTGTCATATGTAACTTTTTAAACTCTGAGATTTTTCAACTAAATTTTTTTGTCTCCTTTGAAAACTTCGGAGGACCATGAGGGCAAGCTGTATGATCCACAGATTGAGAAGTGCTACCTTAATGCATTTCAATTTCTAGAGAAATTAATCTTAAAAAAAATCTGAACATTATTAAAACTACTTTACTGATTTATTTTATATTACAAATAAATATAGTAAATATCTAATAAACCTCAAATTATTTTCTGCAATATTTCTGAATTATTTAAATTTGTACTGTTTTTGCTTCAAAAATGGATGATACATGCAATTTATGATTTCATGAAAGGACCAAAAGGAATCTTGTTTGCAATTTAATTATTTAATTTAAAAAAAGATTTAAATCATTTGGAATATGTGCAAGTGCATGCAATTATTATGAAGAGATTCTAAATTAAAATGTCACATAACAAATTTAGAATGTTATGTTATGTACTTCTAACGAATGTGAATTTTTCTTTATTTAGGAGCCATGCTTTGAATCCTAAGAAGAAGAGGACTGCACCTTCACAACTAGTTAATTAAAAATAACAATAATATAAATTTTACCTATTTTTTATTTTATTTTCCTTTTGGATAGTTTTTCAAATAAAAATAAACCTATTTTTGTTTCTATATTCTGTGTATTGGAATAAAGAGTCGAAATCCATTGCAATATCCAATATTTTCAAAATATGATATTTTTTGAAATAAAATATATGATTATGGAATATTACGTTAAAATGAAATGGTTCCTTATGTAACCTGTATGTTACACTAAAAGGCTTCATCGAATACTTGTAAAGTAATGAGCAAATACTTGTTATCAATTATCTAATATCTTGTGTTAATATCTTACTATAAATTTAAGTTAATATCTTGTGTGAATGAATATTATCTTACAGAATTTTTGATTCCATAAAAATCTATCTAAAAATATAATTTTGTTGAATGAAGATTTAAACATTTTTCCCGAAGATTTAAAAAGTCATTTGAAATAATGATAACAAAAACATTAATCTGAACCATTTAATAAATGAATAGAAAATTTTGAGAACAATTAAATCATCCACAGGAATTTTGAAATAATCATCGTATTTTTGACATCAGTTAAAGAAGAGAAAATCTGAGTCATTTTGATTATAGTGATAAATTAGTTCCATTAATAGTAGGATAGAAAATTAAAATTTTAAGGAGCCATTATGCATTATCAATTTTTCATTAAAAAATTTTTTTTATTACTACTATCATATCAATTATTAATGCTGAATTCTTTATCTTCAGTTTTTACATTCTTTTCTTAATTTTCTAGGCATAGCAGAGAAAAATATAATTATAGGATCAAGGCATTTCCAAATACATTATATTTTCTTCCTTAAATTTTTAAGATCATTCTATATTCATCATGTATTATAGACACAGTATCAGGGGATTCTGTTCAATTTTTCAATTAGAATTTGGGACGAAGTTGTGAAGTGTGATACCTACATTAAATGCTTGAATTGATTATTTGAAATATGACAAAGCAAGAGAGGGCCATCTGTCCAAGGAAAGGAATATTTTAAGGAAAACTTCATGTTACACAAACATTTACACAGGCAGCCCATTCTCTAGGATTTAAATCTAGAGCCAAATGCTAGTGTTCAGCTTACTGTCTGGCTGCCTGTAGGCAATAAATGTTTTAGTAGAAGGAATACTTGAAAAATTAAATTTAGGACTAACTAATTCTTCAATTTTGTATTCAATGAGAAGAATGTAATTTATTAATAAAGTTTTAAATCTGGGAAAATACCTGTACAACTGTCCGATTAATTAATCTATTATTTCAATAATGGTCAGTAGCAGAAGAGATTAAAAAGCATTTATGCCTAAAAGAATTATATGTTGTAATTAAAATGAATAATGCAATTAAGCATGAAAATAATTTTGGATAACTTGTGATAACTGAATTTAAGTTCATTGTTGAGTTACATAAGTAATTTTTTTTAGAATTTGAAAAAATATTTAGAATTGTTTATTGAAACAATTTCATTAAAATATTTATTTTACTGTAATCATATCCAATTGCAGTCTCTTTAGATTACACTGTTGGGTATAAGGAGAATGATTTGGTTTAGTTTACTTAAGTATGGCAAAGCACACTAGGACTATCTGCCTAAGTGGAGAAATGCCTTTGTGGAGGACTTTCGAAGGGAAACTGACTTTCACAACTAGTTAATTAAAAATAACAATAATATAAATTTTACCTATACATGTTACACATGGAGAAAACCATGAAAATACCCATACAACCAGCCCATTCGCGGGATTTGAACCTCGGACCGAACTACCAGTGTTCAGCGGGGGAATTCTAGAACATTACTAATTTATTGCCAAAAAACCATTAAGTCTAATACACAAGTTTTTTTTCCAGCTATTTCGTGATGCATATGTAACTTTGAGATGTCTTAAAATTCAATAAAGGAAAGTAATGTAGATGTAAGAAAAACATAAAATTTGAGCTTCTTTTTAACATTGGAAATATTTTGAAAGAAAATGTTGTATATCTTTTAGAAAATCTAAGGTATTTTCCTTAAAAAAAAAAAACTTAATATTTAAAGTTACATAACTTCCCTTTCCCCACAAATAAATAAATGCAGCATATTTTGTTACAAGCAGTAGCTGTAGACATTTCACATAAACCATATGTTCTACATGTGTAATTATTTATAGTAATATTACAATCAAAATATTTAATATTTAGGAATACATGATTTTTGTATTTTGTATAAGACAAATATGTTCTATATGCATAATTATTTGGAAGAACTTTTAAGTAAATTATCTGCAACTTTTACATATATATCCTTTAAAATTTCACATGAAAATACATGTTCTTACATAATCACTTGCAATAACCTTACAAGCAGAACACTAGTAATCTACAAATATTCCCTTTAGTTAGTAATTCACATTCAAAAATTACGATCTACTTACACTATTATTTCCTGTAATCTTTACAGATGTTTACATGGTAAATCACATATGAAAACATGTTATACTTACACGATAATTTCCTGTAACATTACAGATCAAAGATCTGTAACCTTTACAGGCATATGCTTCGGTAATCAACATACAAAAACTTTGTTATGCCTACAGAATAACTTCCTGTAACATTACATGTCAAACATCTGTAACCATTACAGGTATAATCTCTGTAAAGTTACTAAGAAAATTCCTGTTTTGATTACTCAAATAATCCATGGCATCCCAGTTTCCACGACTTTTCTTATTAACTTTACAGATTTTTTTTTACAGTGCATAATTAATCTTATAATAGGTTTAATGAACTCAAAATGGGTAATTTTACAATCTATTATAACATATAAATGTGTTAAAAATTTACCTTTCCTTTTTCTCGGCATCTTTTCTAATATTCAACCGCTAATATACTACATAATTATTTCTAAGCAATATTTTCAAATAAAAAGTTGATCTTCTGCAGCAGGGATACAAGTAAACAGATAAAATACTATAATTAATACAAAAAAGTAATAGAAAAGTCTCTAATTGGCATACAGAGGCTATAAAGGAAAAGAGCGATAGGAAGATTTCTACTAACGCTATATGCAAGTGAAGAGATTACGAACAAGTCTTGTCAAGGTATTTGTGAACCGCAACTATCCTTGCGATAAATTTACTTCAAGTTTCCATTTCGAGAAATTATCTTACATCCTGTGATAACAAAGTCAAACACTTATTGTTATTATTGAGGTCGTATGCAATATTAGACTGTATTAGACAATAAACATGACCGATAACTTAAAAAAAAATTGTGATAAATGCATCTGTTTAGTGATAGAAAACTTAAGTTCTTTTATAGTACATTTTTAGTTCTCTAAACTAAACTTTTTTAGTACATTTTTGATTCTCTAAATTCTTAGTACATTTTTAGTTCTCTAAACTAAATTGCTTTTCATCTGCAGGTTAAAAAAGGTAGGTTCATTTATAAAACAAAAATATCTAATATTTATAAATATCTCGGATTTTTTTTATACGATCCATGAGATAGTTTAATGTTTTTAAAACTGTAGATTTATTTGTGTAGTTCTTTCAATTGATTTTTGAAAATGGAAGATTATAGCAAGTGAAAGAATATAGTGATTCGTGTGTAATTTAACGAGAAGATTCTTTTTTTACCTGTTCGTAGTGAATTAATTATCAATAATACATTGGTAATCAAACTTAAAGGATAAAGAGAATAAATGTACTCACTAAGTTAATGTTGCAACCGATTCCCAATGCTGTCATTATTTATGTTAATTAAATAACGTAAACACAAAACTGCCCTTCCGTGCATACGTTAACGCCAGAAATATACAAACTCGGTGACTGACAATGTGGTGCGCAATAGACGCATGTTGGAATTACGGTCTGTAGTATTGTTTAAAGTGAATGTAATTTCTGAGAGTGATCAGTATTCAGTAGTTGTGTCTCATAGACATCATTTAAGTGAAGGCCAAACGTGGCGAAAAATTCGTAGAATCGGGGGAGATCAAACACAAATGGAGGTCGCCTAAGATTTGAATATCCCTCGAAGGATCATATCAAGAATTTGGAGACGGTTTTCAAGCACTGGATCAGTTGACAGACGGCCTGACCTAGAGCAACTGCATCAGAAGGCTGTTTTCTGTCGTTTTTGGCTCGAAGAAACCACGAAGCGACTGCAAGATTTGTTTTTAAACCTTCGGGCTGCGACAGGAATTCAAATTAGACATTCTACTGCTCCGCGGAGACTTGATGAGATTGGACTATATGTGAGAAAATAAACGGTTTGCATCCCCCTCACTCCAACTTCCTATGGAGCCTTTTAAACTGGTGGCGTCGTCATGTTTGCTGACGAGTCCAGATATAATCTGAACAGTACAGTGCAATTCCACAAGACTTAATCAACACTTAATCAACACTTCTATGAAATCAAGATGTGAGGTATGCGTATGTGTCCGAGATGATCATACATCATATTAAAGAAAAAAAATTTCAGCAAGAGGTGATTTAATTTTTCCATCATTTTCGAGTTTGTATAAATTTGGTTTTAGTTTCAATATTCTGCGAATAATCAACTGCCCCACATTGTAAATAACTAATGCTTTTGTACAAATTTCTATTCAGAATTTTTCATTAAGTATCAGTTACGCTTTATTTCTTTCATTATCCTTTAATTTTGATTAACAATGTAAATATGATTGTTTAATTATAAATATCTTGTTACTATTATACTAGGAGTTCAACTGGATCTTAGCCAGCAGTAAATTTACTTCATCCAATCCACTGTAAAAAGATGGAATAACATACATTGTTATTTTTACATTAAAATAACTGAAATATTGTCTTTTTAAAAATTTCATAAGACAGATAAAAGAAGACTGAAAGCGTTCATAGTAAAATTATGATTCAGAGGTGTCATATCTTAATAACCAAAACCAAATTAGGATCAGAGTTGATGTCGCACAGCATGATTCGTTTCTTAGTGTTTAAGAAGTGTTTATGCCCTGGAATAATAAAAAAAGATTTCTTTAAGGTTAGTAATGGTACATATTTCAAAATCTTTTAAAACAGATACAACAACTATGAGACCGTACACAGATTTATATATTCATAAAAAATTCTTTATGGATGTATTTTTGTAAAACCTTACATTTTAAATCTTAAAATTAAATTACAGGTTGATAAGAACAATATTGTGGTGCTCATGCTAAGCAACAAGCTCTCAGAAGTTAATTTTCAACAATGTTGTTGATGTTTCCAGTTATTAGAATATGGTTTTAAGATGATTCGAAGTGTGAAAATATCCACTAGTAAATTAGTGTATGTGTGGTTGAGGAAGTCATATGAGCAATTTGGTTTTTGGGAAAATCCCAAAAAATATTTTAAAATGCTTAGCAATAAATAGATTTTTTAAAATTAAAAAAAAAATTTACAGTAATTCGGTAAATAACGTAAATTAGAGAGGCATATATTTCATTTCATCTTCCACCGACGGAAACCACAATTTGTACGTTATATGTACTACTTTTCAAAAACGTAAGAACTTAAGTTAGAAAAATTAACATTTCTTTAACAAGGGAAAAAGAAAAATACAATAAAACATAACGGCTCAAACTTCTACCATTAGGTGAGAAGTAGGCGCATGAAGAACAAAAAACGCAAACTGGAAACATAAAACTTTATTTCAGCAGAGCGTTTGTTGACTGTGCATTCTATTTGCGACAATCACACGTTCAAAGCGTGTTACAGCGTGTTCAACAGTAACGGGAAAGGTTTATCGATGAATTGCAGCAATATGATGTGTTATTCTTGCTTTCATTTCAGGTGTAGTCCGAACGCTTTCACCACAGACACGATCTTTGAGGAATGTCCATAACCAGAAGCCTCAGGGATTCAAGTTCGGAGAATGAGAAGGCAAGAAAGTCGGAAAACGCCTTGAATTTACCCGATCATATCCAAAATGGTCACTAGTCCAACAATGTAAGGTGGATCACTACCTTGCATGAAAACAGTATTCGCTAAACATTCTCATTCCTGTAAGGCAGGAATGTTTTGCTACTGAAGAAGTTTGCAGTAACAGGTACCCGTGATGGAACAGTGGGAGTTCTCCCAAGAAAAGGTGACCAAGAAGGGCTTCCAGAAGTGTTCTCCCAAAACAAGGGGACCATGAATGAAATCAGCAGTAAAACCACATCATACAGCAATGTAATCAGCATGTAGAGATCACTCATGTACAATATTATGACTTGCAGTACCCCACATGTAACAGTTTTGAATATTAACTGCTTCGTCTGGGGTAAAATTCGACTCGTCCAAGCACAAAATATTCTATTGCCAACGTCTATTCTGTCCAGGAGAAGGCTATATATGGTCACTTTACTTAACCTGTTCCGCCAAACTGAGTTAATGGCACTACAGGGTTAGGAAGTTATCCTATTCATTGCTAGCAATCTGACGGTTAGGCCGCCTTTCTACATTTTACTTTAATCTGTAGTTTCTTGGATATAATTATTTTCATTCACTTGCTTCATTATCTCTAAGATGCCCTTGTTGCAGTAATAGTCCGTGAACAGTCTATTCACAGGATATGTGATGTGTAAAATCAGCTTGTTTGTGCGGGTCTGCAGGACGCAGCTCTTGGAGAACTTGGATCTTGTATGGATACTACTTTAAAATGGATCGCAGAATCTTTTGATCAGGGAAGAGACAAGTCGGAGAGATGTGTCGACCGATGAAGAGGCAAATGTTATCAGACAGCTCGAGCACATATCTAAGAATATCGGAAATCTGACACTCTTTCTGCCATGGCAGGAGCGTCTTCCACAGTTTCATTTGAAATCCGTTTCCATCTTCTTCCTTGCAGCCCACATAACTACCCAACCTCTTCAAATTTATGACCTTTTCCAAACCCTACCTCTACATAGGTTCTTTTAGTAAGCCTTTTTCAAACGTCGATATTCTCGCAGTGCAGTTGAAAAATTACCACCGTTTTGATAAAATAGTTTGGCTAGTAATGTTCGATCTTTCTTCTCTAAAAGTAGGGTGGAGAATAATTTTACGGTATTGAATACCGGCTTTTTGAAACACTCCAAAGGCAACAATGTACTGATTAGGAAATCTACTGGCTTTAATAATAATAACAAACTTCGTTAAGCTTCCTGCGAAGTAAAGAATTTTAAGAGCAAGATGCAACTAGCCAGTGGCCAGATATCCTTCTTTGTTCTACATACTCATAATAATATTCTTTTATATATTTCTGCTTACTTTTTTTATAAATAAAAACTGTATACAGTGTTGCCCCAGATTTGGAACAACTTTGGAATCTGAACAAAAAGTTCGCCATACTTGCGCTTTATCTTTCAGTTCACATTTGGAAGTTGCAGTGAAAATATTTCGTGTGAGCTTAGTCTAAAAAGTGTAATGAAAGAAATAAGAGTCAGAAGAAAGCTGTTAGAATTGTATCTTATTGTTAAGCATTAAAACGGCACACTTAATCATTGAAAAAAAAGCTGCTGGTTATGTGAGCTGCTGGTTATGTGATTTCTGAGAAGATAATTAGTGAGAAAACTCCGATTCTTCGCGATGATTTAGTGAAAGACATGCCTAAATACAGCTCAAGAGTAGGAGTTAAAAACCAATAGCGGATGGTTCGAAAAATTTAAGAAAATGACTAAGATTCATAATGTTGTTATGCACGGACAATATTTCTAATTAGAAAGCAGGAGAAAATTTGTAAAGGAGTTTGCGAACAGAGAGGGGTATGTTTCGAACTAGTGTTAATGTGTTCAGTTGTGACGAAAGAGACCTCTTTGCGAAAAAGAGTCTTAGGCGAATATATATCTCAAAGGAACTCTGTACCAGTGCCAGCGCTAGGCTTTTCGCCCACTTCGATTCCTAGAAATCCACCCAGTAACTTCCTAAATTTTGCAAATTTTGCCGCCCTTAAATTCTGCCGCCATTGCGTCTGCACCTATTGCACATACTCTAGCGCCGCCCTACTCTGTACCAGGCCATAAGCCAATGAAAGGCCATCTTACTGTCTTACTGTGCGATAAGGCTAGTGAAGACAGCAAGATCAAAGCTCTCCTTGTCTAT